GAAAGAGGCAGAGTCAACATTTCCAAGTCGGTTTTATTTAGCATGCAAGTTTTCCTTTGTTTTCTGGTTTCCCTAGTCCATTTTTGTCATTGTTGTTTCACACCTTTCCACAAATAAGGATCCGTTTAACTCCAGGTTAATTTCCAGAATTCATTTCTCCATCAGGAGATTCAGATAACTTGTATTGTATAAATTGTATATTCTACTTTCTGTTCTGCTAGTTCTAAATCTAGTCGCTTTACAGGTGAAAAACCATCAGGGTCAGTTTGAAGAAAGCATTTAAATATACATGGGTTAAACCTACTTCTTCTTTCGTATATAAGAATACACAACATAGCAGGCACAGCTGCTAATAGCCTTAGTGGGGAAGACTGAGGAGGAGGTAGACCTCTGGCTTCAGGAGAGCCAGATCTTGTCATCAGCTTCTTTCTCCTGCAATGCAGACTCGTGAGTCCACGATGAATGAGTTGTAATTGGGAGCTTTGGGAATGTCTTGTGCCTGCGCGGGCCTGCCACTTCTGTGATTTGGTCTCTCTTCGGTGTGTCGAGACGAGGAAGCCTAAACAGAGCTAGCAGCCCTGTGCCTGGCCTCTTGCGTGTGAACTTTGGCGTCCATAATCCACCGGACTGTCCTGTGCTGACTGGTGATTCCACTTTCCAAAAGCCTGTGAAAATAAACTGGGGTACAGAGACTTTTAGATCCACACATTTATTTTAGAATACTAAAAACTGACAATTCTGCATTCACGGCAGTAATGCCTTCTATTATTTTGATGATGAAATCAGAGTTTCAAGACTTTTCCATTTAAAGAGAAATTTTACTCTGTTGTCTTAGCCCAGTGCATGTGAATTTATACATGTAGTAAAAAATCTACAAATGTATCAACTGGATTTGTTTTTCCATAGTTTATGCATAGATCAGGTTCTAACAATTAATTAGTGGAGCTGTACATTACATTCAGGAAGTACCTCTATGTTGTTTTATCCCTTCAGACAGAAGATACTTTTTTTTTTCTAGAGATAACCTATCTCTTTAATTAAAATAAAAAGAAAAGCAAAAATGTCTTATGTGGACTATAAAGAGCATACTCTTATAATGTTTTACTTGTTGTTTTTTTTTCTTAAATTGAGAGCCAGAAAATGTGGGTGCCTCTTGTATTTGAGGGCATCTTAAATTTGAAGGCAGTCTCTCTTAGTATTAATATAAGCTTTTAACAAACATTAGAACAGTTGTGAAGCAGTAGTGTGTGCAGAGCAGGTTACATTTCTCAGTGTTAAGGTATGTGTTTCCATAACATTACATCTGAAAAAACCTCAAACTCTGTGCTGTCTCACTAGTATCTTCTTCTTTTTCACAGACGGTAACATTTATTTCCTGTTTTAACACATATACCAGTAGGTGCAGCTCAGCAGAGCTCAGAGTCGACTGCACCTGTGTTATTTCTCAGAAGCCGTGTTCCCTGTTTGGGGAGACCTGGAGCACCTTCAGTTCATAAGACATGATCAGCTTCGTATGCTTTCAGTATAGCAGGGCACATCCGGAGCGAGGATAGGGTTTAAGCTCTGCCAGTTTGGCACTTGGGGGTTTCTTTCTGACCATACTATGCACTTTCCCATGCATGTGTGCGTGCATTTCCCCCTAGCTTCAGTGGGAATTTTGCACATGCACCAGGTACAAAATACATGTTTTAATGTTACTTCTAGAGCCATGGGTGTACGTTGCTTACCTGTTGGGGGAATGTTGCCAGACACGTAGGTCCCAGCCCCAGGATTTGCGGTCGGAGTCCTGGAAAGAGCAGGGTCAGGCGGACCTCCAGGCTGGAGCGTGTCCTGCAATGGGATGATCTTTAAGTTGTTTTTAAAAGGGACACTGAGCATGCAGAACCGTGTTACTGTGTGCTGCTGGAGATCCTGAGTGAAAGTCCTCCTTGATGTCTAGATTGTTCTTGCATATATCCAAGTTCTGTGCCCGTCCTACCACGCATCCGTTTTTCTAAGTTTTACTGCTCTGTTCTTGAAGAAGTTAAAAGTCGGTTCTACAATGATGTGTCAAATTCTTCACAGCAGCCCAAGGGCTCATAACATTTTCTTTAACGGCACTGCAGGATTTACAAAATTTATGGTGACAAACATTACTGGATTACTTTCTTGTTAGTCATTCATTTAACAAATTTACAGTTTAGATTAATATTAATATGTCATTATTACCTGTTTTGTATAATAAATATCGTAGTCATGACTCTGTGCGTATAGATCACCTGGACCAAGCACTCTCAATAAGCACAGTCGCAACCAAAGGTTTGTGAATTAATTGAGAAAATTGCAAATCAGGTAGTCAGCGAAATAATTCATTGTCACATCCAATCAATAAACTTTGTAAATCAACTCATTTAATTCAAAAAATGATCTATATAGATCAAGCGACCAATTAAACAATTAGCATACACTTTGCAATTAATTAATTTAAGCATCAATCATGTAATTAAAACTCCAAATTTAAACTGCAGAGTTTAGAAACATACTGCCATGTGAACATTTAGGCTATATGTCATGCCTCTGGAACAAGTCAGAATGCTGGCAGATTTCTGATAAGAAAGGGTCCGGGTTTATAGCTGGGAAATGTAAACGTGAGTGCTTAGAGGTTCATATAAGAACAGCCCTTGTTATATTTTGTTTATGTAGAATTACATCTCTCCCGACTCTAGCATGTAGAAAGAAACCGGTTTTCCTTTTTCTCTCACAGCATGTGTCTGAGAACTTGGGCAGTATTTAGTCCCATGCAGCACTGCATAATAATTTTAACTGCTTTCATTGATTGGGCTGTGTAGGCGTTAAGAGATGTTTTTGTGGCTTATTTTCCACCATAATAACTTTGGTTGTTGAACACATCTTTGGCTTTCCATGTACTTATTTCCTTGACACCCAGTTGTTGCGCTGCTTACGTATCTGAGTGCACGCTGCACCGTTTGAGCATACCCTGTTACAAAACAGTGCGCTTTTTTCACACTTGTTAGAGCTAAGACTGAAGGAAATAGAAACTGCTCATTCAGATTTCACTGTAAAAATTAACTGTCACATAATTAAACACATTTGCACTGATGGGAAAAATATTGCTGCCATTTTGGCAAGTCTTAAAACTTTAATAGTGTTAGATATATTTTAATCACCGACTTGTCATTGTTTGCTTACAAATCAGCTAATGATCGTATGAGACTGCTCTGCCTTGTTTGGAGGTTTTCTTTTCACCCTACTATCACATCATTACTTAAGCTGGAGAACCTAAGGCTTGAAACTGGGGATAAATGCGCCTAATCAGTGATTTCTAAAATATATTGATTTCTGCACCACAGGAGCCTGTTGGCTCATTGTCAGTGGCATTTAGCTACTGACACTGGGCCATAGAAGTTAGCTGGCGCTGGAGCTTCCCCTCGGGAATAATTCTGTCTTTGTTTGTTTCAGTGACAATGTCAGTGCCTACTGTCTCCATATTGCTGAAGATGATGGCGAGGTCGACACAGACTTTCCACCCCTGGATTCCAACGAGCCCATTCATAAGTTTGGCTTCAGCACTTTGGCACTGGTTGAAAAGTACTCGTCTCCCGGGCTGGCAGCAAAACAGTCGCTTTTTGTTCGAATGTGAGTATTGACACCAGCTTTCTAAATTATCTTCACATCTGGACTTACAGTCTGCATCCCAGCACACACTTCCCCCCCCTCCATTCTGCTCTTACGCATTTGATTTATCAGAACTCACGCCCTAGGTATATTTGAGATTTTTCGTAAGTCATTTCTTTTGCACGTAAAATCTTGTATGGGCCATGTGAGCAGGAAATGCAATTTCCATTTTAAACTTGTCTCATAAGTACTATAATACCTCTCTTTAATCCTAAAACTGGAATCTTTATGGTTCTAAACCTGCAGAAAATATACCGTGCTGCTTTGCGCAGGAGTGTTGCCTGCTTCTGTTGCTGAGAAATACTTTGTGATTTGGGGGGGTTGTTTTTGTTTTTTCCCCCAAATACCTACGGAGTTTGTAATCTTCAGTTCCTTTTGCTCACACCATTGTTTTGCAAAATTACTCTTTTAGCTGAAAGTCTAATGTGCCTGGACTAGCAAATGAAATGAATGCACTCATGTAGAAGGTAGCTGTAGGAGAACCAGGCTTCTTGAGTCTTGGCAGTACTTCAGCTTTGGCTTAGCACCTAATGATGTAGTTAGCTCTACCTCTCTCATGTATGGCTTTTTGCTCCTTCCAGAAAGAAATCATTTAAAAGTTACTTGGACCTGTGCATCTTAGCTGCTGTATCTTTGGTGTAAATACCAGGTCAGTTACTACAACAACGTATTAGTTTTGCAAGCCAAAATATCTCTAGGTGTTTGGCCCATATAGACTTAAGTGCCAATGTACTCTAAGTATAATTTGTAGGAGTAAGTGCCAATATATTTTTCCTGAATATTGGAAGGATTTATATCCTTTTGGCTCATGGAAAAGACCTATGCTTCTCAGCTGTAGGGTCGTTTCCAGTTTCGAGTGATCTTAATGGGGGGAAAAAAGAGATTTATTTGATTAGTTTTTGTACGCACTGTCATGTGTGCCTATGAATATCCCATCCAAAGATTTTCTCAGGAATTCACCCGTTGTGAGCCAATACCTGTTTTCCAGGATGGATCCAAAGTCTCACTTGTCTGCAGCGTGTGCAACCAAAGTCTTCCTTGAGAAGCAGCTTGGTTTGCCTCCCTCTGGTACTTGGCTTTAATGGTAGAGGCAAACTGCCCTGGACTCCTAGTCAAGCCATTTTAATTTCTGCCATTACTGCAGGAGGGTGGAGTGAGAAGTCATAGTATTGTCGGACACTTGCCTCTAAAGAAGATTTCTACAAGTGGTGCTTGTGTTGCATAGTGGGGAGAGCAGCAATGTTTTTGGCTTCCCTCTCGCTGTCCCCGTCCGTACGTGACGCGTACAGGAGTAGACTTCTGAGCTCCCCGGGAAGCCAAGAAGAAGGCTGAGGTGTTCCCGAGACTGAAAAGATTGCATTATTTCATCTTGGCTCAGCTTCCCCACACTTGCACATGTTTGCACAGGGTCAGGGTTTTAGAGAGGATATGGTCACCTTGAATGGTGACATCTAAAAAAAAAATCTTCTTTACTAATGTTTGTGTGTCTTTGCAAGAAGCTGAAGAGCAGCACCTCCAAACACACTTGGTGTTTCCCTCCCCTTCGTTCTGTGCACGTGTCTCCTATTCAGCTCTCTCCGGTCTCCGCTTTTCCACTCCTGATGTTAGTAACTCCCTTGTGTGAGGCCTGGGCGATGTGTTGATGTTGGTGACAGGCAGAGACATGCATGGGGGAGATGTCACTGGGCCAGAAGTGCAACTGGCCACCTGCAAAACCCTGCTCGTAGCTGTCCGCAGAGCGCTGTGAAATGCAGGAATGAAGAAATGAAATGGGGGCTGAGGGGTTTTTTGTCCTGTCATGTAGGTTAAGATTCCTTTTTACAATAGCAGCTACAAACTTCTCAGGCTCGGATGTGCCTCTTGACGTTGGCAGTGTCCTTTTAAACAATAAAGTCTTCGTGACCTTTTAAAAATCTCAGTTTTTAAATTTGCATTACTTTGAAGTGCAGTATTATTCTAGCTCATGAAGTGTGAGAACATTAGAGTGCAGTGAAAGAAAAGCCAGTGCCGGTATGGGTGTAAATTAGCGAGCCATTTGCTTGAGTCTTGGAGAAGCAACTGTGTTTTTTCTTTTCGTTCTGTCCTAATTGCAAACACTTCCATTGTCCATAGAAATGGAACATATGCAGTCTGCATAATTTAGTATTCGTAAATCTGACTTGATCTCTTTTTTGGCAACAGTTACTGTCTGGAGAGAAGAAAACTGTTTTCTTTGTTTCTGTTTAAAACAACAGAAATAATCAAATAAGACATAAATATGGAAGCCACTCATTGCCTACCTTAACATTTAAAAGGTCAGATAAATCAAACATGTATATTTGCACTCTGTAATAAGCTTTGTACCTGCACAAATATGCTGCAAAATTCATGAGATTTCCTGGTGTCTTTCCAAATGAATTTTCAGAGAAGTGCAGTCTTCTGCTTCTGCCAGGTTGGAAATTGCTGGTTGAGTAAGCCAACATGTAGCAAATCAAAGGACCTGGGTCTCCCACTTGCAGGGAACCCAACGGAAAGGCAGGGTCTTTCTCTCCCAAGGTGGCACAATCCAAAATTAAGGGGATTTAAAACAGTGGTTATTTTAAGCAAACTAGACATAACACAAACAGTAAAATTGCTGAGTTTGTTTAAAATGGGAAATCAGGCCCGAATGCAACTTTAGATTAAAATGTCTAATGAATTAATTTACAAATCTTGTCTTTTTTAAATGCCACCATCAAGAAGAGGATCTTTTCTTAACTTAAAAAAAATACTGAAATATAAGGCCTTGATGCTGCAGCAATGTTACTGGCCTTCTGCGCAACTCTTTGCGCTCAAATGAGATGCTCTCAGCCTTTTCGGAGTCCAGGCACCCCCACTGCTTTGTTCAACGTGCGATGTCCCCAGTTGAGAGCCACCGTTGTGTTCAACTTAGCTCAGTGGTTCTCAGCCGGGTGCTCTTGCCACCAGGTAAGACTGCCGTGTGCCAGCTGCGGAGCCAGGTGCAGCCGCTTGCAGCCTCCCCTCCACCTGCCACGAGCCGCCTGGGCTCTGGGCAGGCCCCTGCCACCCATTGCCATGCCTGGACGGCTCATGGCAGGCAGCAAGGAGGCTGCAAGCGGCTGCACCGGGGTCCTACTCCCCACTCTCCCTTTCCCCATCTCTTCTGTCTGCAAGGCAGTGGGGGTTGCCATACCGATTAATCACTTAACCTGTTGTAATTACAACACTTAAGTGGACATTTTTTTAAATCAATATTTATATCCCTAGTGCCCACAAGTGCTTTTAGTGTTGGAGCTCAAGTTTTATTTTTATTAAAATCAGTCTTACAATTTTTTTTCATTTCGGGACAAAATCATTTCAGTGTTAACTATTCAGGTGTTCAGGCTAGTGTTCCAGTAAAAGGCCCTAATTCTGCCTTTGGTAGCACAGGGACCACGAGTCTACACAGATCTGTTGTAGCCGGATCTGTGTAGACTCCCACCGCGCTGCAGGGTGACCCCTCTTCAAGGCAAGATTTAAGGCACAGCTGCAAATGCAGCAAAATGGATGGGGAGAGCCAAGCATTTGGTCACCATTTATTCCATGCTTGGAGTATGTTTAAGCATTCCCTGTTTAAAAACATGGGAAATTGCATCTGGCATCTCTGTTAGAACATGGACTGAGCAAAGACAAAACTGCGTTTCGGGATAAGATAATTCCCGGAAACGAAAAACAAGTTGTTTTGTAGCTCAGCAGGTCCAATCCGTTGCAAAAATTGTGAAGGTTGTATCGAGTAATGTTTCAGTAAACAAAAAGACTTTGTGTAATCGTTAATCTTGTGTTGTGGGCATGTGCATGGTAATGATTTGTGAAATTGCTTGCCCTTTCTGAGTAAACAGGTATTAAAAAAAAAAAAAGATTTAAATTAAAATTCTGTGCTAGTGGTTCCTGGGATCTAAAATTATTCCATGTTCCCTAAATGTAGCCGCATACAGTGTTTCTTACTGTTTTTGAGAGACCCTACATCTTCTTTTCCTTTGCTCTTATTCGACTCGTGCGTGTAATCACATTTTTATGTTTTGTAGCTCATTCCCCTTATGTGCAAGGATCCCAGTTGCTGCTGTGTCAGGCTAGTGACGGGTAATGTTTATTAATAGTGTATCGCGGGTGAAAAAATTGACGCTTCTGAGAAGCTTCATGATGAAACGTGGCGTTTTATTTCAAGATCCTGCCCGTGCTGTATGTTGAATGCACTCGCGGATGTTATGCAGTTCACTGAGCTGACAGTTATGGAACCTCGCCTGGGACCCCGTTTCAGCAGGCCATATTTGAACAGAAACAGTTTGCAAAACTTTATACACTTACACTCCTGCCAAGGCAAACTCTTAGCCACTTGAGTTTGTTACAAATACCCAGTGGCAGTGGTTGGAAGTAGCCCACAGTGTGTTTTATATTCTGAGCTGAATGTAAATGTCTTTGTGGTCATATAGAGTAGTAAATAATTGAGTTTGATTAGGGAGAGGGACCTCATTATCCCCCACCTGTGCCCAGCTGGTAGGGGAGGGTCGAAATGAAGCCATTAGCTGTCTCTCTTACTGGCATCTCAAAGAGCTCAAATACATCTGTGTCTTATTTTCTTTTCTGGCACAATCAGTTGAGCAAGCTAAGCAGGCATGACCGAATCTGGCAACTTCCAAGGACTCTGGCAAAGTTGCACAAGGAGAAGACGGAGGGCAGTCATTCTGGCTTCTAGCTGCCCATTAGCATAGCGAGTTATGTTTTTGGAAAATGTCTGTTGTGGAAAGGAGTGCTTTGTCCAATGTCAAACGCCGCGGTCTCGAACAATCCACTTTGATGTCGATTCTGATTTGTCAGGGTGAGTCAAACAAAGCGCTGCCTTCATGGAAACGCCAACTTTTAGCTGGTGAAGTAATACCTGAAAGCCTGACTTCAAATGAGCCAGAGTCGTTTAAAATAATCCTTTGCTCCCCTTTTAGGCTTTT